TCATGGCACTTTGATATCTTTCATATATTTTGGTCAGTATTATCAGTGAATCTTATAGAAATTTTGAACTATTTAAACTATCAAATATTGCCCTTTTTCTTTCAGAAAGTACATAGACCTGTCTGTCAATTCATTAAGGATATAGTCGAGGATTTCTAGGTGGAGGTTTTCTCTCTTTACTTCTTGTTCTCTGAAAATAGAAAATATTCATTTAAACCTTTTTACAAGTCAACAGCAGGAATAGAGTGGAAAGTTACATAACTTGATCAAAAGTTTACTTCCAACAAGACCATAAGTCATATTCAAGATGGCTAATCAAGTTGATAACAGAAATAATCCGAACTAAGAAGGGGTAAGATTCCTCACTAACCTTCAAGTTTAAATCTAAATAGAAATTCACTCACTTCTTTAAATGCTACCAAGGCCTAAACAAAATATTTACCACTGGTGGGCTATCTTGTTATAATCTTTCCCTTTCTCTATCACCTACCAGATTGTTATGATCTAGATTGTGATTTCTACCACCCTCTTCTCCCATCCTCTTCTCCCCTATCCCCCCAGAATAAAGAAACATACCATAAGCCTCTGATCTAACCCCTCTTAACATCTCCCTACCTCCCCAGAATAAAATAACAACCACTTACAACTTGAGAGTTAGCAAGGTATGATCTAGGGTGAGGTTTTCTACTCCGTGTTAAAGATGAACTACCGTAATCACTATATCTGTGTGTAGAAGAATCTGATGTAGCTCCTGTATCACTGTATTCACCTTGACTACCTACTGTTAGAAAAAAAATAAAATCTATCAAATGCAGTTTTATTAACCAGTATTTCCTAAAGATGGATTTTATCATCGCATTCAATGTACAAAAAACACAAAGGCTCAGGCCTCTCATATTGTCAGATTAAGTAACAAATATTTCACGGTAAACTACACAGTTAGATGTATTCTTGACCCATACCAAGATCAAATTCCAGTGCAACAACACCACAGCTAGCAGGGATGTTGATTTATATTTTTATAAACTGGACATTTTTCAACAACCTGTGATATTTGATCTCAATTTCTACCTGAGAGAAGGTTTATAAAATATATACCGGAACCAGTATTGTTGTGAAAGAGATGTCAACTGTATCATTTTACCAACAGTTGATATCACTTATTATATTAACTCTATCAGGCTATCAATATTAATAAATATATGTTAGATATTAATGATATACTCACAGGAAGAATTTCTAGATCTACTTTTATTAAAACCATTACTGTTATTTCTATTAGGGGAGGGTCGTGATCTTCTTGAACCACCAGACGTATTGGCACGATTTTGACGAGCTCTGAAAAGAAACAAATTGGAGAATCAGAATAAGTGATCGAATTGTTGAGTCTATTTACTACACATGACTATCATAGTATATCAAATATCTGCAAATAAAATGTCTCTATCTTAACATATATGAAGGTACAAAGGTTTGTGGCAGACATCTTACCTTTTTAATTTGGCTTCTTTGATTAATCTTTCTTTCTCTTTTACATAAGCTGAAGGATCAAATCTTCCATTTCTACTTCCTACAAATACAATATTTTAACTTATAATCAGGTTCATATTATCAAAATCTTTAAAGATAAAATCTAGATTTTAAGAAATACAGTAATCTGATTGGATAATAAAACTATGATTAAAAATCTATATAAAGGATTGACCAATCAGATGATTGAAACACTAGATTAAACTATAGCTATCTTATAGCTAAGAGAATGTGCCTCAATGTAGAAAAAGATATATTGGTATAATTTTATAAAATTAAGATGTCAAGCTCTAACCAACTGAGCTACAGAACCCCTCAAAAGAAAGAAAAACATACCTGCAGGAGAAGGGGTTCGACTTCTATAAGATGGTTTCTGTGTTCTAGGTGACTTGTCACTACAACGACTTCGATTGGACGAATAACTGTTATGAGGTGAATGGTCACTGACTCGACTTCTATTAGGAGCGGAAGCTGGGCGATCTCTAGAGTTAGATCTGCCACGACTAGGTGGTCTTTCTCTTGATAATGACTTGTTACTAATTATAGATGAAAAACGATCCCCTGAACGTTCTCTAGATAGCGGTCTTGATGGTCTTGCTTTATCTCTGAAAACAAAACAAATAACAGAAAGTTCTTGAGCTTTCATTAATTAACTTAGTTTAATGGATTTATTGGATTATAAAGAGATTCTGTTGAATAGTTTTAACACCAGGTATGTCCAACTGATGAATATATACTCTTATTGACCATGTTTGAGAATTTAAATTATTCATTCTAAGAGTTAGTATAACTTTAACATCTAGTTGATAGATCAGCACTAAAATTTTTATCATGTTCTACTCTGTACTAAATTTTCCTATTGGACAGATTTTTTCAAAACCCATCATATCAAAATATCATATCATATCAAAATATCATATCATATCAAAATATCATATCATATCAAAATATCATATCATATCAAATCATCATATCAAAATATCATTATTTACCTTTTATAAGTAGCTAATTCATTAGTTAAACTTTTAACTCGGATTCTTAAATTTCTTTCTGATGCCCTTAATTCTTCTACCTACAAACAAAACATCAAATATTCAGATTTACAATTCAACATTTCTTAGATCAAGATTTTTATTTGGTAATTTTCTTCTCCTATTTTGGCTAATGAAGATAGGCAATGTCTACAGTGTGCAATGAGGAAAATTCTACCAGCGCAATAGCACTAGCCTAATCGTTATACATTCTAACTGACTGTATGAAAGAGGTTGAAAAATCTGAAGATATTATCTTGACCTATGTTGATATTACCCATGGCATCACGACTAACGTACATGAGCCTTACTCTGACTCGCTGACCGACCCCCTGCTATCTCACACTCTCATAATACTAATATAATAACATTCCAATAGACCTCACTAAGTTTACTAGTAGACCACTGATAGGGCTGAGTATATTATATCAATATATATACCAAACCTTTTACACAACAAATCTGAATTTAGACAATATCTCTCTGAAATATTTCCTTACCTCAATCAACAACTCAAGATGATATTACTCTAGCTATTAGTAGATCTCTCATAGTGTTGAGAGATATACAATTATCAACATAAATACCAAACGAACAAATTTGAATTTAGACAATATCTTTCTGAAATATCTCCTTACCTCATTCAACAACTCTCTGTATTCCTGGCCACGTTTACTAGTAGATCTCTGATATTTATTTTTTTCTTTCATCAACTCTTCCTCTAGATTCCGAACAATACCTTTCAACATTTTTACTTCCTTAATCTGATCCTGATTATTTCTTTTAGCTTTCGTTTCTCGTCGGAATTCATAGAATTCTTCTTCAATCTCTTCTTTCTCTTTCAATAGTTTACTATAACTAAAAATAATAGCAGAAAATAATAGAGTTTTACACCCAAATCTTACTTAACTGATGTAATATATTGTAAGAATACATTGTTATCTTTCATAGAAAATTCCAAGGGGTGTGGCTTAATAATACCTTGAAAACCATTCACCGTCGTATTGAAATGAAACTTAGGTTTTCATTCTACAATATCTCATCAGGCAAATAATATGAAAATAATTTTTATAACTCTGCATCTTTTTCAGATTATGCTATGCTAAGCAAATGAAAATTTGTTTAATAAAACCTTGAAAATGCCACACAATAATCAGACTTAAAGTATATTTTTGTACTACTATGTATTAAGTCTTACTCTCTTTCTAATCTCTCAAAATCTCTACTTTTGTAATCAGAGGATTTCTAAAAAATAAAAATTAAATTAAGAAAATAACTTAGAGACTGCTACATTAACCTTGTAAAAATAGTCAAAAGATGTTAGCACTTAGGGCAAAATGTACTAATATATCATCAACTATATGGAATACATGTTATAAATCATTATTATAATAATTGTATAATTCAAACAATAAAATCATCAATTGAATCTTCTGACTTTCTGACTTACTGTATCTTTCAAGCGTTTATTTTCCAACTGAAGATGTCTGAGAGAATCTTGAAGTGACCGGGTGTCAGGTTTACCTGCGTAGGGTAGAGGTAGGGGGTAGTGGATTCTGAAACAACAATTTTTGTTTATTAAATTTATCAAGGATTTGTTTTGAAGAAGGGAGATAATTTCCAAAGGTAAATCTTGTTTGTCTAAATGTGTTTAGATATATTTGCTGTCAGGACAGTTGGTTTATGGTGAAATGTTAAGCAGTCCCATCAATACAACTAGCTTTCTTGGAAGACAGAAACAATTACAAGTCAAGTTTAGGTAAAACAGGCAATCTTAATGAGCAAAGACTGGCAGAACCACCAAGATTCTACCATTTTCTGAAAGAGAACTAGACACATAAATCTAAAGACATTACCTGTCAAATTCTACTGTATATGTTAATATTAAATATCTTTTACTGTTTAACGTTGAATTACGTGAACCAGGTAATGATGACTGAGTTGTGGCCCCTGTTTTTCTTGCTCGTAATGACTCTAGATCAGAAAATGTTAATAAATCTATTGATACAGTATCGCTGTTCTGAAATATAAAAATCATCGTTCAAATTTTACACTTTTCTCATTCTTCCTATAAGCTAATATTGTAAAACTGTTATTTTGGATTCTGGATTTCATTTTGCAGTTTGGATCACTTGTACTTGTTTTTTTTTTCTGAAGGACTTTTGTATAATATCAATCACAATCATCTCTTTGGTTTTGAAAATCTTATGGATGGCAAAAATGAAATGTGGGTCATTTACCTAGGACACGTCTAAGAGAGAAATGTGTTAATTTCAAATGTAAACTGAGTATTTTACAACCTAGTATCTTTGTAGATCTGATAAAATTCTATGAGAATTAGTATTATTGGTATGTAATTGAACATCATAATTAAAAATCTATGAAATTAAAGTAAATTTAATTCTGCGCTCAGTGTGGTCAGAGAGTAAGGGGAAGGTTTCAGAGAGAAATTATGTAAATACAAACCTTATTCAAGGCTGACTCTAACATACTTGTAAAAATATGGAACTGTTTAAAATTACCAGTTTTATGAGTAAGATCTTGTATGTCTGAAAAAAACCCCAGAAATTTCAAATCAGCTGCATACTGTTTTACGGGAAATCTTCAGATTAATTTTGTCAAAAGTATGTTATTTCTCAATGTAAAATTCTGACAACCAATCAATTCCATTACTGTAACTAAACTCCATACATTGCGGACATATTACTTTTCCCTCCAGATATATTACATGTCCCTCTGAGCAATCACGTATGGTTACAAACCCTGATTAGGAGTTTATAGAAATATAAACCTACATGTTGCATCAAAGCTGGCTTTCCATTGGTCAGAACTAATTCTGTCTTCCACCTCGATATTTAGTTGATCTCCATCTTTTACTTCCATGGTAACGAGATATTCCGAACCTCGAAATAAACATGACGAAGTTAACTTGATATCTCTTGGTGATTCCATCATGATGATGAGAGAAATACTGTGGAAGTTTACTTGGTTTTAATCTGGAAATAATTAATTGATAATCACTATATATGATGTCAACTGATCAATTGGATAATTTTTAGATAGTCTAACCAATAGACCCTGTATACACTTATCTTAAAAAAATGGCAGAGAAAATTTTCATATTCTTTACTCCTTGTCGATCAATCTAAAGTTTGCAATAAATAAACATAACAAGGAGTTGACATTGGAGGACTTTAGTATGGATATGTTGTTCTATGTGTGAAGTGAAAATTTGATCAATTTCAACTCATGGTTAATCTGAACATAAATCCTGTCGGTGTAGACCTATCAGTGATTGACATGGAGAGTAGAGGGAAAGGTTAGAGAAGCAACTGTCGTCTAAGATTTTGACTAAGTTTTAGGATAAGAAGATATGAACCAAACAGATAAGATCAAAAATTAAACACTGATGGTCCAAAAGAACTAATTTTATGTTTACTGATGAGGTTATCATCTTAATTTACTGTGAAGACTGTAGTGACGTGGGCGTGGCGAATATCCTCGGCCGTGGTGTAGTCAAAGTGGAAAGTGATAAGTTTAAGCTGTTGTTGACTGATATATTTTTTTTATTTTGTCAATTGCAGGTGATCAGTATTAATCAAGATCGGATACAAAATATTCAATGGAAACTATCAACTGGTAAAAATTGACAGAATGGAATGGAAAACGTTTTTTTTGTTCTTTTCTACTTCGAGTCTGAACATGTTCTGATAGCTGATCATCGACATCATATCTTACCTGACGATAATTTAGTAGGTGATTTCTAAATAATTCTTCGATAGGTGAAAGTAATAAATAATCAAAATTTATTTCATAAAATTTCTATTTGTCTCAGTTTACATACATTCGATAAAATTAATAAAATTCAAGGAATTCGTTTCAAAACAACCGCTGTCAGCCATATTGCCAATTTAGTGACTCATAACGTAACCATTTCCGGTTCAAAACGTAACCCTTTGATTAAAGCGTAACCGATAATATGAATTTTTTGCAGATTTTGTGTTTTGACCAATGTAAATGCCAGTCAGGGAGGGTCTGTTGAAACAAGTAATCCGGAAAGAGATACAGAGTTTAATTTTTTTTTTTAAAAAAGGAAAAGATATTTATAGCTTTATGGCCATGTATTTTGTTTTGTCCGTTGGAAGTGTAATGTCTACGTCCTTGTAGCCTACTACCACAGCCCCCCTCCCCCTCCAGACCCCTTCCCCTTCGCCTTATAAATAACTAGGATAATCGAAAATTTGGAGTGCGAAAGTGAACCAAATTACTTTATTAAGTGAACGTGGTGAACCAGAAGATTCATTAAACAATCTTGTTTTTGTGACTGTAGCACGGCAAGGCCAACCTCTCATTTTCAACCAAGAGTTCATAACGAAATTTCAGAAAAGATTGGTGTATTATAAAATTAATCTGAAGATCAGAGATTAAGCCTTGAAATAGACTCAGTGTCGTCCAAGCAATGCTATTTAATAAGATATGAGCTCTCTTATCACGGAATGACAGTTAATTAACTTAATATATATCTTCTATAAAGACAAGTTATAGCACCGTACACTGTAAGAACTTTCTGTAAAATTGAATAGAATTAATAGCACTGTGGTGGCAGTGATGCCAGTGCAGTAGCAGGAGGTGTTGGGGGGGGGGGGGGGGGGGGGTGGGGGGACCGGGAAACCA